TTGTTGAACAACGAAATGCTCCAATATTGTATATGTGTAACATTTATTAGACTACATGCCTGTCAGCAATTTAAAGCTACGCTATAAACCACTATAATTGCCATTACTTGGTCTTCGCGAGGTGTTATTCGGACACAAGATCTGCTCGCCACGGTTCTCCGATGAAAGCACATGTTTAACTTTTCAGCTTCTAGAGATACAGTATACATTTGTTAAATCGGTCATCTAACAAAGTTAATTAATTAACCATTTGCAGTTCAGTATGGAGGCCAGACCAAGAAAGAAGTCGTTTACGCCTAACGTTAGAGACGCGAAGAAACCATCGTTCAAGCCAAAGGGTAACTTCTTTTCATTCTTGTTTTTAATATTGTGCAGTGAGGTCTCTGACTTGACCTCATTTTCAGGGTTGTGTTTGTGATGGTAAAGGATCCACTATCCAGCAGGGCTGTATTGACCAAATCTCTGTCCACTGATATATGGCTACAGTGCATTAATAATATCTGTGTGGCTTTATTAGGTAAACCAGGAGGAAAACCTCAGGGCAAGCGGCCATTCAAACCTCACAGCACAGACAAAGGAAAGACTTTTAAAAAATCAGGTGGAGATGGAGGACCACGGAAATTCAGCAGAAAACCAGCAGATGGAAAGTTCGCAAAGAAGAGAAAACACCCAGGAGGCAAAGAGGACGGAGGTACAAATATCACAATAATGTCTCCTGAATTGCCCCGTTTGGCAGTGGTTTTAATACTGTTTTGTGGTTTTTCAGGTATTGATTAATCAATAGCATTTTCTTTGACAGGCTCTGAAGGGAAGAAACCTAAATGGGGTGAATTCAAACAAAAAAAGAAAGAGTTGAAGCAGAATCGCCAGCAGAATGAGAAAAAGGAGAGTTACCAGATTGTCAGCAGAGCAAAGCAAGTGTGGGAAATTGTAAGACGGTAAGCGTTTGTTTATTGCATGTGAGAATTTTGTATAGTGATCGACCGATATTGACATTTTATAACCGATACCAATTATTTGCATGTTTATGTGCCCGATA